AAATTAACTCTATCCCAGCCGAAACCAGGACACTCCCCTACTCAAATGAGCAAAGCCAGCCACCTTGCAGCAGCCGAAGAGAGGCAGCCCATCATCTGCTGGTGCCTCACACGGCGCACACCTTCAGCCACAGCACCCTGCCCTCTTTCCCCTGCCCTTTCCTCCTAGGCCTGCCCAAAGTCCCGGTGCACCCACCTGCCAGCCTGGCTCACACCAGCTTCAAACCCAGCACAGGCATCTTGAGCATGCCTCAAGAAGACCCTTATTTCTTTACAAATTCTGGGAACCGCTGTGCTGCAACCCTGTTTTTAGCTTTCCAAGGTCACAAAAATGCTCATGAAATACTCTCGAGGCTTTCTGAGAAAAGAGCTTTTGGGTGAGCGAAGCAGGACCCTGAAGGACCATTTTTTTTTTTATCCTGGTTACCCCATCTCTTAGGAAGCCAACTGAATTGCATCATAAACTCGTGCTATATTATTATGCAAACTACATATTAAGACAGATATTTTTTTCAGCGCTGCGCAACATTTCAGCTTTTGATTTCCTCAGGAGAACACAAACCCTTTCACAGCCTCCTCAAAACTGGCAATTACATACTGCAAAATTTCTTGGCAATTTTTGAGCCTACAGAGTGATGTGTTCGGGGAGCCGCGTGCCCACTGCTCCCCTCGTTGCACCCAGCCGTCTCCCCTCCCCTTCTCCCCGCTCCCCGAGGGAAGGTCCCCACTCCAGGGCAGCCATGTGGAGATGCAGCAGGGAGGGAGCAGGAGCTGGAGCCAGTGGGGTGAGAAGTGGTTGAGCAGAGCGAGGCAGGCTCCTGGGTGCCATTTCCACGTCACCTTCCTCAGCCTGCCCGCTCCCAGGAGAGACAACGGCAGCGGCCACGGCCATGCTCCCCATCTCTGGGCACGGCCACTGGGTCCGTGCAGTCCCCAGAAAAGGGGTCAGTGGGAGCAGCGGGTTTGCTCACCCCTGGAAAGGCTGTGCCGGGGTGGGGACCCCCAAGCGCAGAGAGCTAGTGACAGCCAGAGACATCACTTGAGAGGGGCATCCATTTTAAAAATCCACATTCATTCTTTTACCCCCAGTCCTGCTGTCTCATCCGAACAGCCCCGCCCAGCTCCCCTGGCTTCCCTGCACAACCAATTTCTCCACACCCTCGTGTTTTTGATGCTCCTTGTGTTTGTCTCCATGGCCGCGCTCTCAGCCGCCTGCCCGTCTGTTCCCCAAGCTGCTCTGTTCTCACCCCAGCTGGCTTTTCTAGAATTGCACCTTCTAGGAGCTGGGGAGTATCCAGGGAGGCAAAGTCATCCGGGTGCTTTTAGCAGAAGTCAGCGTAGCAAGACAGAGAAGTGAGAAACAGCAAAGTCAGGGTGACTTTCGTTCAAGCAGAGCAATGACTTTGGGCCGCGTTCAGCAATCTGCTAGACAGAGGCTGTGCATCCCAGGCACTGCCCCGCAGGGGTGCTCGCCTGTGCTGACGCCGGGGCTGCTGCCCCAGCCAAAACCCAGGCAAAACCGAGGTGCTTGCAGATTTTAAATCAACAGAGTCAGAGGCTGGCGGAGGTGGCAGAAGCCCATGACTAAATAGGTTATCCGTGATGCACACATGCACACGCCCAGGCAGCAGCCGAGCTTCACGGTGACAAGGGGCTTCACCCCCATCCCCGGCACGCGGCTGGGAACAGGGTGGGCTGCAGAACCTGGATAATCCCATGATGCACGGGAGCAGGGCACCCCACGCCCACCCACGGGTAAGGCTGGGGGCTGCACGCTCTGGGTCTGACCCCAAGGGAAGGGAGATCGGGGCAATGCAAAGACTGATACCACATGCACCCCCTCCAAATGCTGGGGAGCCCTTCAGCCGCGGAGGGAAGCAGAAGCTGCAGCTGACACAGGACAGGAAGGGATGTTACTGCAAAGCAAAACCTGATTTCACTCACACACCCCAACACGCTCATGCCCACATGCTCCTGAGCACCAAGACCCTTGTGTCCAGCTGGCTTGGCCAGGATTTCCCGCAGTGCCTGGTAGGACTGGGGGCACCAGCTGTCTGGTCTTCACCATGACCTCCAGCTACATGCCCAATCTTGGCCCATTGCCTTTGTGCTAGGCATGGCTCAAAGGCGAAAAACAAGCCAAGCAGGGTAAAATACAAAAGGAGATGGGGCAAATGCATTTGCATTAGAAGGAAACAAGAAAAAGCACAAAAGGATGCTGGTAAGCAGCCTTCTGCTGTTTTCCATAGCTGTCGGTGCCTAAATACCAGTGCAACACTGTGGATGCAGTGGAGAAGGCTGTAATTTGGATGCCATCTGTAACAAACCAGTGTGTAAAGCATCACCTGCTAAAATTGACATTTTCAATTCATCAGGCCCACACTGAGAGTATTAATGGACCTAACTGAAGGTCCTATTGAGCCACTGATGGTAATTTTTAACAGAGCTAGGAAAACTAGGATAATTCCAAAGGACTGAAGGACAGAAATCACTCCAATCATTAAGAAAATAAATGGGTTGACCCAGAAAACTCTAGATTACTGATAATACCAGGAAAAAATAACAGAAGAATTAATTTTGATTACATCAGCAGAGAATTAAAGACTGAAAAATGCATTTAGTACTGATCAGCCTTGTCTCAGGGAAGGCAGGTATTGCTATGCAAACTTGTTGTCACCTTTCAGCACGATTACACGTCTGGCTGATTCAGATCAACACCGCTGGCATGACATCCTTACTTGGAAGCTGGCAGGAGATAATGATAACAGCATTCACATAAATCACGATACTGCCGCAGAGGGATGGAATAATCTGCTTTCCATGTTCACGGAAGAAGGACTCATAGCAGCTCATAGCTGCTGCCCAAGGTCTTTCCAGATCTACTTTTTGTGTTGTCCCAGAATATTTATCTCGGCACGCCAAGCCAGCCTGTTTATATTCCTGCATTGCTAAGGACACATCAGATGCATCAACAGCAAAGGTGTGCTTTTAGCC